TGAAGAACAGGAAGAAGAAGAGAAAGGTAAAGATACAAGTTATGAACAACAAATACACATCTATCCACAAGTGAATCTAAGAATCAAGTGAATAAATAATCCGATGAACAGAATGAGCTGGTGATTATAATAGAATCAGAGGCATAGAAAGGGAATGGACTGACTATTCTTGGGGGGGAAAGGGGTGTGGGAGATGCGGGAAGAGACTGGACAAAAATCGTGCACCTATGGATGAGGACAGCGGGTGGGGAGTGAGGGCGGAGGGTTGGGTAGGAACTGGAAGGAGGGGAGTTATGGGGGAAAAAAAGAGGAACAAATGTAATAATCTGAACAATAAAGATTTACTTTAATAAAATAAAATAAAATAAAACAGATGGAATCCTAAGCAACCAGCAGGTTACAAAGGTTTCCCCAGACTGGCACAGTAGGAACCAGCTTTGGAAGCCAGTACAAGTGAGGGTAAGAGGATTCAGTTTTCACCATGGATGCAAAACACTGTGCTGAGTGTTTCCAAATCAAGCTTGTGCCAGGTCAGAAAGGCCCTGCCCTTCTGATGGTGACCACTATGCAGGTGACAGAGTGAAAGTGCACATTTTCTTGTCCTTTACTTTGGAGACAATCCTCACCAACAACTTGACTTGTTTATCCTGGTTCTCCTCTGTGCAATATCTATTCTTATTTCTCACAAGGATAAGGAAGGGAAACAATAGGTTTTTCTCTTTTCTTTCGCTTCTCCCTCCATTCAAGTTTGGCTCATGTCTGCAACTCACCTGAACAGCTCCTCCCAGCATGACAGCCACCAGCCCCATGGACATGCTCAGTGTCTGTGATTCCACGGTGCTCTCTGTCTGGTGGGCCAAGCTTGCACATGCTCGCTGCAGTGTTGCTGCTACAAAGTCCACCACCTACCACAGAAAAGGGATTTAGAATCAGTGGAGAGAAAGAAAACAAATCTCAACATTTTCTTTACATCTTACGTCTACATCTTCATCTTCTTCTACATCAACATCAGGATAGCAAGAACCTTCAACAATAACTACTACTGTGTAGCAGGCATGGTGCTCCGTGTTTCACATGCACAACATCACTTGGGCCGCATATTAACTCCAGGAGGTCACCACTCTTATCCTCATTCTGAGACGAAGAATCTGAGACTTAAGGAGGTTATCTCCTCAAGGCCATATGGTCAATAAGTGAGAAAGCCCATCTAAACTTTCCCAAATGTTTTAATGTATTAAACCAACTTTCTTTACTTTTCATGAATTTTGGCAGGAAATTAAAATGAAAAAGGATTTGTTACTTTCTGACCAACTTAGAAGGTCCTAGATCTACTTCTCCTAATGAGATTTCCTCCTCAAGAATATCTTCCCCTCATCTTAGCAACTATTTTTGTTGTTGTTAATCCTCACCTGAATATATTTTCCATTGATTTTTAGAGAGTGAAAGGGAAGGGGACAGACAGAGGAAAACATCACTGTGAGAGAGACACATCAATTGGTTGCCTCCTGTACTAGCCCCGGCCAGGGCTGGGGATTGAGCCTATAACCGAGGTATGTGCCCTTGACCAGAATTGAATCCGAGACCCTTCAGTCCACAGGCTGACTCTCTATCCACTGGCAAAACTGGCTAGGGCCCACTCACTTTTTAAAAGAATTTTAAAAAAATTTTATTGATTTTGAGAGAGAGAGAAAAAACACAAATCGATTTGTTGTCCTACTTATTTATGCATTCATTGGTTGATTCTTGCATTTTTCCTGACCGGGGATTGAACCCACAACCTTGTCATATTGGGACAATGTTCTAACCAACTGACCTATCTGACCAGGGCCTCACCCCTGTCATTTTAACAGTCTTATTCTAATTAAGCAAAGAATGGGGGAAGAGGCATTCAATTTTATGCAGAAGCCAGTGTCCTCAAACAATCTGTACAAATGAACCAGAGTCATTTTTTAAGTATCAAATATATTTAAAGGATTAAGACTTTCACATATATTTTATATCGCATTTGGCTATCTACTACACCTTAAATGGAACTAACTTGATCCACGTAATTTTAACTGCACGTTGATTAATCACCTTCAAAGGAAGAAACGCCTTTGAATAAAAGCATATGCAAAAAAAAGACAGCATACGCATACACATACACATGTACATGCACATACATGTACATATGGACACACACGCACACACACACACTGAGGATTAATGGCTCAAAAGAGGAAAATCATTTTGAAAATGGGGCAGCTGAGATAGGTCATAATAAGCCTCTGAATACCATGCAAGCTTGCATGTTCAACTCCCTCGGCAAATTACACACTACGCTAGAATCTTTATTGCAAGCTTAAAGTAAAAAAAAAAAAGTGGCTTGTTAACACTTGTCTTTTGGAATAAGGCAGAAAGTTTAGAAAAATTATTTAAAGTTCCACCTACTGAAATGAACAATGCTAGTTATGGCAAGTTTCACCACCCTCTTAGCCTAGGACTTTATTGATGCCAGAGTTAAGGATACTGGTCCTTTTAGAGAAACTCTCATCAAGTATCTTGGGCTACCTATTTTGCCTTTCAAGAGTTTTCTAAAGCACACCTTGCTTATAGGACGCTTCTGTATCAGAACACCTATTGTTAAATTACTGGAAAAGACCTATCTAACCTCTGGCTTTTTCTAAGTTCCTCTCCACTATATATGTTGGAAAACAAGTAACATCATTCTATTTTTGTTAAGAAGGAACTTTTCTATATCTGTCCATATGAATATACATACATAAAACCCTGGAAGCTGTTAATGTAATAATCAGCTGTATTGTCATCTATGAAGTAGCTTTTCCTGCAAACTTTCTTGTAACATCAAAACCACCATACCCATTGGATAACAGCTCCTCCCCCTTCTACTCATTTCCTGTGATTTTGGTGGGGCTGAGAGCCACAAGGATAGGCATGTGACTAAAGCCTGCTGCAGAGATGGGGGAGAGACTTTTACCTTTCCTTTAAATTTTTTGTACAGATGCATAATTTAAAAAGCCAAATATTCCTGAAAGTTTATTATGAAAAACAGCAATGTCCTACTCCCACCTGATTCCGGCCCAGAGACAACCACCTTTAATTATTTCACTGGTTAATTTAATAATAACATTAAGCATTTACTACTTACCAGGTACCATTCTGAACATAGCACAGTTATAGACACACTTAATCCTCACACTAACCTATGGGGATGTGTAAACCTGCTGCCACCATTCTAGCAACTGAGGGGAAGGGGGCTGGAGGCCTCACTGCTGAGCATGTAGATGTCAACCTAATCCTCCAGTTTTTCAGTGTGCTAACACCACTCAAGTTCAGAGTCTCTTGGGTTCAACCTCTCTCAAGAATAAACCTCCAATCTTTCGCTGGGGGGTGGGGGGTGGTTGTACAAAGTTGAGGAAGGAATCAAGTGGTCGACCCAAGCTAGTGCAGCCTTTCAACCTATTTTAAGCTCTAAATTCACCTCCATCTTTAGAGCTAATCTGGGGCCTCCAGTCCTCCAAGGGTTCTGCAGGGAGAAGTAGCTTGCTTCTTTTTTTTTCTTTTCAAAACAATTGTATTGAAATACAGTGCTTTGCTTCTTGACTTCTCCCATGCAGGCACTTAGCTTTCCATTTTCTGAAATTGCTAAATCAGCTACTATTCTCCAGTTTCCAAATGTTATTCTCTTTTATTTACCGTCTCTCCTTCCCTGCTCTACTGGTCCTTGTGGTTTCCATAGGAGGCAGATAAACACATGTGTTCGACACACCATCTTTAATCAGAAATCTCTAATTTTTAGATATTGCACTTCTATGTTGTTGAGATGTGTTTACAATGAGCATGTGTTACTACCATAACATGACTACACACAACAATCCCTTATATCTTCAAATACTTGGTCCATGACTGTTCAAAAATGTCTTGGTTTGTTTGAATCAAGATCCACACATTGTATTTGATTATACATCCCTTTCAAGCTACAACAGTCTACTCCTTTTTGGTGCCATTTATTTGATAAAGAAACTGGGTCATCTGTCCTGTAGAATTTCCCACATTCTGTATTTGGCCAATTGCTTCCTCATCGCATTAACTTGCTCCTCTGTCCTGCGTTTTCATGATTAGATTCAGATTCACATTTTGGGGAATTTATTTTATTTATTTACTAGTAGCCCAGTGCACAAAAATTTGTGCACTCGGGGGCGGGGGCATGCCCCTCAGTTATTAAACATTTATTGGCACAACACTGTCCACATTGGTGGTGGTGGTGGTCTTGTCAGAATGTGTTATATTATGCAGATGAAAATCTAAACAGATTTGATGTAGATATTTTCAAAGATGGAACCAAGAG